ATGGCAGCCTAGGATGCTCAGCTAACATGTGTATCCTCAATTCAGTGTCTCCAAATGTGGGCCACCAACCAAAATGCTTATCCCCAGGCCACGTGCCACACCTGCTTGTTCAGGATGAGTATCTTTATGGAGGGGGCAATAAGCATTTTTAAATAAGCATCCCAAGTATTACAGCTCTTTTAGAATTTGTCTAGCAGGTTTTCTGGTTTGCACTGGAAAGCCCCATCCAAAAAAAAAGGAAAAATAAGCACCCCACAAGGACCTACTGTACTGTACAGGAAGCTATATTCCATTTCTTGTAATAAGCTATAACGAAAGAATCTGAAAATGCATAAACATACGTGTATACGTTCATGTATAATTGAATTGCTTTGCTGTACACCTGAAACTAACATTGTAAATCAACTACACTTCAATAGAAAAAGGATAATGCATCCCAGATTCTTGTATCAGCTGAAGTTCACACCCTTTGAGATGCTTACTAAACGTGCAGATTTTTTTAGACCTGTGGAGGTACAGAGGTAGCAAGGCTTGGACACCCTGTAGTCCAACCCCTGAATCTTTATAGATGGAGAAACTGCAGCCCAGAGAAAAGAGTACCTTGCCAAAGAGCCACAGCAGGTCACCTCCTGGTTCTCAGGCCTCTTTTGGATGGTAAGGTTGACCAGCCCACTCAGGCAGTAAGAGATTTTTTTTTTCTCCTCTGATCAAAAAGATCGTCGGTGCTGTACACCAGAAATTGACACAACATGGTAAACTGACTATACTTCAATAAAAAATATATATATACAAAAAAAAAGGTCATAGGCTTAGACAGCTGAGAAATACCAACTGTATTTGGCCAAGGCCAAGGAGGTATTTACTCCCTCCGAGGAGGTGGGGGAAGTCCAAAGGAACTTTTAATAGGTCTATTTAGGGTAAATGTTGATGAAGTCACAGAAGGATTCACTTCCCCAAGCTGACGGGAACTGTTACTTTCCTGTTTCTCTTTTCACATGATTTGATTTACTTAGTAGATTCAACTTAAAATGAAATGATCGGATTTCAAATATGCAAAAACTAGAGCCAGGTTATAAGCCCAAGAAAACTGGCACCTGCCACTAATCTTATCTCAGCTTGGCTACCAATTTGCCATGACCTTGGAGGACCTTTGGCACATTGCCTAGCCTTCTGGGCTCGGAGTCTCTCTAGTTCTGATGATCTGGTTCCCTGAGTATAATTTACTCTACAATTAGCCTGTAGGTTCCCTGAGTATCATTTACTCTACAATAAGCCTGCTGGCTTATCTGTTGAATGACAATTGAGGGGTCTGTTCATCTGTTCTAAAATGTGGGCTTGTTCTAGTCTAGGAGAACATAAGGCATTCTCTAAACAAGGAGAGGGAGAAAGTGAGTGAGGACAAAGATGACCCTTTGGGCACAGGGGGGGACACCTTGAAGAAGAGTAGGAAGTCAAGTTTCTGTACCAGACTCTGCCTACCATGGGCCATCTTGACATTTTTACCTAGCCCTTCCCCCTGTGGACGATGCTTGTAGCACTTATGTTGAGTGAAGAACAGAAGTCACAATTTTGTGTACCTATGGACAAGCGATTTTCAACAAAGTGCAAAAGGCAGTTCGGTGGAAAAAGAACAGACTTTTCAACAAAAACAGTGTTCCAGGTGTTGGAACAATTAAATATCCAAATGCAGAAGAAGGAGGAGGAGGAGAAGGTCGATCCATATCTCATAAAAATTAACCCCAAAGGTATCAGAGACCTAGATGTAAAACCTAAAACTATAAAATTTCTACTGGAAAACATAGGAGGAAAATCTTTATGGCTTCTGAATAGGCAAGGAATTCTTAGTTTTGATACCAAAAGCATGATCCATACAAGGGAAAAAAAGTTTTTTAATTGGACTTCATTAAAATTAAGAAATTTTGCTCTTTGAAAGACACCAGTAAAGACACTTGATAAACCACAAATGTAATGATTAGGGGTTTATACAAAAAAATGTAAGGGAACTCTCAAAACTCAACAATAAGGAACAAAACAATCCAATTGAAAATGGGCAAAAATAGATAAATAGGTTTCTACTGTATAGCACAGAGAACTATATGCAATATCTTACAGTAACCTATAATGGAAAAGAATATGAAAAGGAATATATGTATATATATGTATGACTGAAACATGCTGTACACTAGAAATTGACACATTGTAAACTGACTATACTTAAAAATTAAAATTAAAATGGGCAAAAGATTTGAATGGATACTGAGAAGACTTATGGATAGTAAGTAGGCACTTAAAAGATATTGGAGAAATGCAAATTAAAACCACAATGAGATACCACTAAATATCTATTAAAATGGCTAAGTTTATAAAATCAACCTTACCAAGGACATAGAGGAACAAGAACTGTCATACTGTTGGTGGAGAAGTAAAATAGTACAACCACTTTGTAAAATAGTTTGGCAGTATCGTAAAAAGTTAAATATACACTGACCATATGATCCAGAACTTCCTCTGTTAGGTCTTTGCCCAGGAGAAATTAACAATAGATGTTCGTACAAAGACTTACATATGAATGTTTATAGTGGCTTTATTTGTAGAAGCTAAAAACTGGAAGCAGCCCAAATGTCCATCAACAGATGAATGGATAAATTGTATATCCATACAATAGAATACTACTCAGCAATAAAAAAGGAATCAACTAATAATACACACGATGTGGACGCATCTCAAGATAATTACGCTGAGGGAAAGAGGCCAGACAAAAAGAATGATTCCATTTATATAAAATCCTATGAAGCGCAAACTAACCTACAATGACAGAAAGCAGATCAGAGATTGGGCAAGAGGGAGGGAAAACAAAGAGGCATGAGGAATCTTTTAAGGTCATGGTTCACTGTCTTGTGGTGACATACACCACATGTCAACACATAAAATTGTTCACTTTGGAACCATGGAGTCAACTGTGTGTTGATTAGACCTCAATCGAGTTGTTTAAAAAACTATGATGAGCCTAGGACATCTTATGCCGGAAAGCAAAGAAACTAATCATTTTATCAAAAGGTTTCAGGTACCAAATTGAATAGGCACCCATTGGCCAGTAATAGGAAAATACAACTATCAGTTAGGATAATAACTACAGTGGATTGAAAGAGAACAAATATCTTTAAATTCATGTGTTCATAGTGGCAGGTATAAAATGTTATGTGTCCATAATGATAACAATAATAAAAAAAACCGCATTGATCAATAAATAACCTTTGGAAGATACTATAGAATTAACGAACTATTTTGACAACTGTTAAATCATGCATTTATCCTGCCTTTTTTATATGCAGTGTACCTAGTGTAATCAATTAGCCAGTGAAGTGATGTTCCTCTTCATCAGTATTGCAGCTAATAAATGCTGAAATGATACCACTATTTACAACCCCTAATCAATGCAATGATTATGAAAGGCTGCAAACATCAAAAACAGAGACAGGTGGTGGGGAGGGAAATAGCTCAGTGGTAGAGCCCATTCTTGGCATGCAGAAGGTCCTGGTTCAATCTCCAGTACTTCCATTTAAAAAAAATTATAGATTTAAAAATTTAAAAAACCTGAGAGACAAACAGGCATAATTCTCCTCAGGGAGATACACAATACAGCATAAGGAATCTTTTTTTTTTTTTAAAAAAAAAAGATCAAATGTGATTGAATCAGACCTTTTTCACCTAACTCCCAGTGTGCAGAGAACATGGGAGGCAGACGAAGGTGTTAAAATGCCATGGAGATGCCACCAGCAAGATGCAGATTGGGGAAAGTTCCTCAGGACAAACCACCTCGTTTCTTAAAAAAACAAGGAGAGAAAGAAAAAGAAATGAAAAGGAAATTAAAGAAACTGAAAGCAAAAAATGAGGAAGAGGGAAACCACAAATTTTTAAAGATCTTTAAGAGATGTGTTAACCAGTTGCAATGTATGGTCTAGATAGAAAGTCAGACTAAGTTTTTTTAAAATGACATTTATAGGCCAAACAGAGAAATGTAAATACTAATTCGATATTTGATGTTAGGAAATTGTTGTTTGGCGGGAGGTGATAGTTTGGGGAATATGTTTTAAAAGGGAAACGCTTTTCTTTTAAAAATACATTCTGAAATGTTTACTGGTGAAATCATATGATGTCTGGTACTTACATCAAAATAATGCCGGGGTGGGTGTAGGTGCAAGTATTGGAGGAAACAAAACTGACCAGGAGTTGGTTAATTATTGAAGTTGAGTAATGACTATATGGTGAATCATTAGGCTAGTCTCTATACGTTTGTGAATTGTGTAATAAAAGTGTTTTAAAACTGCGTCAGAATGATTGTGCTAGGATGAAAAATGCAGTTTAAAAATCGGGAAGAAATACCGTCCTGCAAAACGCTTATGCTACTTGCGTGAAAGCGGTAGAATGTCATTTCCCCCTTCATTCCTACATTTTCTGTAATGTGTCTATATATTTTAATATTATTTTTATAATGAAAAATTATGCATAATAAACCCTAGGGGAAAACAAAACCTCTGTATTTTTGCCGTCCTTGTCCTGGTCTTAAAAACTCATTATTTCCCCCAAGCCCTCTAGGCTTTTGCTAAGCTTCCCGTCGTCTTTTCCAAGTTTAGATTATCCGAGTTGTGGGACTATGAAGGTTTTGAGGAAAGGGGGTCAAGTTCAGCGCAGCCCAAATTTCCGCCAGCCCGCAGGCTGACCCGAGCCGCACGCCACTTAGCACGGCGACCTCCAAGGGCGCGGATTAGCTTCGGGACCCGCCTTCTTCAGATGCGTGAGTAAGATTTGCGTATGCGCGCTTTGAGGGACTACATCTCCCAGGAGGCTCTGCGCCTCGCGTGGACGGGGACAGCTTAGTAGTGGGGGACTACATCACCCAGGGACACCTTGCGAGAGGCGATGGTAAGAAGAAGACTGTACAGCCATTGGTCCAGAGTCTGTCGGAAGCTGTGCGGTGACTGGTCCAGAAGCCTGTCAGTTACTGCCAAGAGCAGTTAAATTTTGCTGTTAGACGGCTTGAGGAGGGAGGGAGAGAAGAGCGCGGGGAGCTGGGCCGCGCCCTCTGAGCCGGGTGAGTGACCTTTACCTCCGCCCTCCTCGCAGTGCGCTCTGGGACCTGCACCCTCACTCCCCGGGGGGAGTCCACATGCTCAGGTACTCACGCGAGGGCGGGCACCATACACACACGTGTCACGCCTAACCTGAGAAGCATCTTCAGGACGCAGGAAGCCAAACTCTACACACACCCTGGGCACCTGTACACGCGGGTTCTTTCTCGCGGGCTTCTTCTCGGACTCCGGGAGGGAAAAACACGCCCTGAGGCCCACGTGGATATTGTGTCCACAAGCCAGGACATCTGCAGAGACCCTCAGCTGAACATATGGGCTCACCGACACACGCGCTCACTGTGGGACACCCGCATACCCGAACCCCAGGGGTTTCCGCAGTAAAAGGAGGATGACAAGGCACACACATACCGCACCCAAACGCACCATGCCACTCACACCAGCGGCCCCTCATCTTCTGGATACTGTATTAAATAATGCATAGACTCATATTTAATTTTTATTTTGTCTCTAGATAAATATCAAGGCTTTTTGGTACAAGAAGGAAATTTTGAACAAGCAGAAAAAGTAAGATTTTTTTTTTTATTGAGTTATAGTCAGTTTACAATGTTGTGTCAATTTCCAGTATAGAACACTTTTTTTCGGTTATACATAAATTCATTGTCTCATTCTCTTTCACCGTGAGCTGCCACTAGATCTTGTATATATTTCCCTGTGCTACACAGTATAATCTTATTTATCTGTTCTATATATACCTGTCAGAATCTACAAATTTCTAACTCCCAGTCTGTCCCTTCCCACCCCCCTCTCCCTGGCAACCACAAGTTTGTATTCTATGTCTATGAGTCTGTTTCTGTTTTGTATTTATGTTCATTTGAGTAAGACCACTATTGAATTGTATTTAACAGACCCTTTTACATGTATAAGGTTTTACCTTTTTTTACAGAGCATTTCACATATGGTATCTTGCATAATTCTCCCAGGAATCTGGCTAAGCAGGGCTGCCATCATACCCATTTTCTAGAAGATAAGCTGAGCCTAGTTTAAATAAACCTGCCCAAGTTACATGGGAGGGGCAGAATTTGAACTCAGGCTTCTTGATCTGAGGTTTAAGGTTATGTCTAGCTATGCAGACTTGCTTATTTATAGAAATGCCTCCTTCCCTCCCTGACAGCAGGGATCTGACACTGCTTAATGTGATCGGAGCAGTCCCGGGGTAACCTCCAGAGAGGCTTTGCCTCTCCATCACCTGCCCCATGTGTAAACTGCTCCTCACAGGTGCCTACAGAGTAGCAGCTTGAGTTATTGTCAGAAGTTGATGGGAAAACCCAGGTGTCCTCCTTTGAGGGTCTGGGGAGAAGATACCAAGGAATGGGCACGTTCTTGACAGGGGTGGGAAGGTTTCGTTCCATTAGACTTTTAATAAGATATTATTTTGCAGTGTTTTCCTGATAGAGCCCCATAGAAATGTCTCATTAATTTAGTGCTACTTTGGTACTTTCAGAACTAAATTAATTCTGAGGTGCCTTCTAAAATCGTTTTATATTTAGTCTGAGTTGGAGTTTGGAAGGGCCGTAATGAATTCAAACGATATAGAATTGTATAAAGAAAAAGGGAGATATCTGCCTTCCATCTTCCCTTGACAACCCTTCCCCTAAAGGTGACCTTACCAATCTGTTGGAGTGTGTGTCATTACAGACTTCCCCCCTATGCTTCATACAACTGTATAGGGTGCATATAGGTCTGGCAGGTTTTTCTTTTGCAAAAGTGGGGCTACACTGGATGTACTGACACCAGCTTTTTTCATGTTTCAGTCAGTCTTGGCTGTCTTTTCCAGTGTGTGTAGAGCTATGGCTCAATCTTTTTATTTTTATTTTTTTATTTTTGGTGGGGGAGGCAATTAGGCTTAGTTATTTTTGGAGAAGGTACTGAAGATTGAACCCAGGGCCTCATGCATGCTGAGCATGCACTCTACCACTTGAGCTATATATACCCTCCCCACTGTGGCTCATTCTTTTTGATGGCTTAGTAGTATCCCATGGAAGTGACTTAGTGTATTTATCCATCCCTCTGTTGCTAAGTATTTGCATTATATCTAGTTTTACAAACATTGATACAGCGGGTGACATTTTACACACACATGCTAGTGTTTCTCTTGAACAGTGATTCTCAACCAGGGGCAATTTTGTTAACGCCTGGAGCCATTTTTGATCATCATGAGGGGAGTGTGGGGGTACTGGCATCTGGTGGGTAGAGACCAGGGGTGCTACTAAACATCCTACAATGCACAGGACATCCACCAACTGTGAAGAATTATCCATTCTAAAATGTCATTAGTGTTGAGGTTAAGAAACGGCTCTAGATAAAAATGGAATTAGATATTTTTTAAAAATTCAGTTTATTAAAAACCCCAGTGCCCAACGAATTATGACACGGCTACTCAATGGAATATTAACCAGCCATTTAAAATGATATTTTTGAGGCTCTTGTAGCAACATGAAATCATGCTTATGACATTTTGCATTTTAAAAGCCATGTACTGGGGGAAAAAAAGGGAATATGTGAAATGAAAAGTATTAAGGTGGTGGGGTTTTCTCCCCTTGTCTCTTTTCGCAAAGTCACGTTATTCTAAAATCTAAAAGTTACTTAGTTTTTAATCATTTATTCATAAATTGTTTCTAGAGCCTTTGGGGTATGCCAGAAACTGTGCTGGTCTCTGGAGATATGACTGGAACTAGGCTGAGACCCTGCCCATAGGGAGCCTGCCTCCTGTGGCTGGAGAGGACATAATACACAGTCGCAAGTGGTTTGAATGCTAGAAGGGACAGGAGTGCATCTTCCCAAGGGGATGCTCTTTAGCTGAGCCCTGGTGGATGGGAGGAGCCAGCCTTGGGAAGAGCGAGTCAGGGTGGTAGTGGGCTGCATGGCACACATGGGAACAGTAAGTGCAGGGGCAGGGCAGGGGCAGCGGCTCATAGACAGGTACGGAAGCAGTGTTTTCTAGGAACTGCTCAGAAGCACTGAGCTGCTCACCTCACCTCAGCCCCCTGCCCTGGTTGAGGAGACTGAAGAGTAGTCCAGGGTGAGGTTGAAGAGGCGGGCCTGGGAGCGTCATTTCATAGCATAACACGGCTCCACTGCTGTGGGTGGGCCTGCGGTGTGTGCAGAGGATGGTGAAGGGAAATGTCTCAGTGTCCTTTGGATCATGTAGGCTTGTCAGAGAATGCCAGGCCCCACCCATTCCTGGAGCCTGTGTGTCTGAGAGTCCCCCTCAGCCTTCGGCTCTAGTGGACTCTGCTCTCATGTTAATGCAGCCTGGGACTTCACCTCAGGCAGGAGTTGGCCACAAAGTGTTTTGGAAAGCCACCAGCTTTCCATCTGATCTCTGGAAGTGAACGATCTCCTCCCAATCAGCAAACATCACGAGCACTGACTGTGGTGGGCTCTATTCCAGGCACTGGAATTATGGTGATGGACAGATGAGGCCAGGGCCGTGTTTTCATGGGCTTGAATTCTGGCTGGGGGAGACAGATAAGAAACAGAGGTACAGGAAAAATGTCCAGTATGTAAATGCTACAAAGGAGACTAAAGCAGGGTAAGGAGAGAACAGGGATGTGGGCACTGCTCTGGGTGGGCTGGGCAGGGAGCGCTGCTCCGAGGAGCCATGTGGGGACAGAGGCCCTAAGAACCTGCTTTGGTGTTTACTCCGTGTCTCTTGCATTTAGCTTGAAGCTGATGGACGCTGTATGGGCCAGAGGCAGGGATGGTGGGCTATGACCCCAGAGCAGATGGCAGGAATATCTCCAATTTTGAGGTGGCGGTGGCTGGGTCTGTGTCTGGACTTGTCACACGGGCGCTGATCAGCCCCTTGGACGTCATCAAGATCCGTTTCCAGGTACCCTTTTCCCTTTTTTCCATGTAAGGGGCAGGAGGACAAGTTCTTTTTTTGTCAAAGCAATTCCTAAAGTTTGGGGCTTTAGCAAGGAAAAGTACTTCATTGCTTCCGTCACCTCTGCAATTCCTCCTTCCCACCCACCCCTGCCCCTGATGTCCTGACCACTTCGATTTTGATTCCTAGCTTCAGATTGAGCGTCTGTCTCGCAGTGACCCCAGTGCAAAATACTACGGGATCCTACAGGCGGGGAGACAGATCTTGCAAGAGGAGGGCCCAACAGCCTTCTGGAAAGGACACATCCCAGCCCAGCTTCTCTCCATAGGCTATGGAGCTGTCCAAGTAAGCGGCAGGGGACCTGGCCAGGCCCCTGGAGTCCTGTTGCTCAGCAGGGGAGCACAGGGTGGTGGGGCACGCAGGGACAGTGCCCAGGGTAGGACAGCAGGAGGCTGTCACCACACTTCTCACTTGTCTTGGCTGGGAAGCTGCCCAACAAATGAAGACACAGTCAGACAACTGATGGCTCAGGTCAGGTGCTCCCCAGGCTGACGTGCCCCCACCCCTCCACCTCTGTGCCTGGCACACAGACCCATCCTGATGGATAAACCGGTGATGTGTGCTCTCAGGACCCCGAGCCATCTTGAGTTGGCTGGAGAAAGATCTGAGCGGGAGGGGGCTGACACTGTGGAATATGGAATTTGTGGGATACCCCCAGATGGGATTTCTGCTCCAGGGCAGACTGTTTCTCAAACAGGGCCACTGCCCACTGCACCAAAGGGGTCCCTGGCTGAGAATCAGATAATGGCCATCTTTTCCCAGTTCTCAGGAAACTAAGTTAATGAGCAGAATTTTTTATTATAAATTTTTTCTCATATATTTTCTTAACCCTTGGAGATTCAGCTCTGCTCAGAATATAAAATGGCTTCTAAGCTTTGCACAAAATTACGTTTATTGTGCTGTGTCCCTGCTCAAGAAGAGTGTCTCCTGGTCTCCAGGACAGGGCCCCGCCTGGGTCATGGGAGGGGGATTTGGAGGGTGTTTGTCAATGGCCTTTCACACGCTCTTGCAGTTTTTGTCCTTTGAACTGCTGACCGAGCTGGTGCACAGGGCCAGCGTGCGCGATGCCCGCGACTTCTCCGTGCACTTCGTGTGTGGTGGCCTGTCCGCCTGCGTGGCCACCCTCACTGTGCATCCTGTGGACGTTCTGCGCACCCGCTTCGCAGCTCAGGGTGAGCCCAGGGTGAGTGGCCGGGCCAGAGAAGGGGCGCTGAGTGACGGAAGTTGTCCTGGGGAGGGGGCTCCTTCCCTTCAAGGGAGCCAAGCTGGGGGGACCTGGGGTGTTCAGGCATCAGGCCATTCATGATACCTGTGACTGTGCTCAGCACCATGCGCGGGCCTCACGTGGGAGACAGAACCTGCAGGGAGAACATTACAAATACCAAATGGAGGGCTGGACAGGGAAGGCATCCAGGAAGGTGAGACTTGAGATCATATCACCATACGATTGTGAGGGTGGTGGTGTTTTCCACAAAGAATGGATTGGAGGAAATGGGATCACTGAGTCAGGCTTGAGGAAGAATTGAGTGAGTGAAAGCGAAGGATTAAACCCTGAAACAGAGACCCTGCCCTCCCCATCGCCGGCATCTCTGTCTCCTGGACATACGTCAGAATAGCGTAGGATGCTGTTGGTGGGGAATGTGCTTTGTTTAAGAATTGGATCTGAGACCGGCTAAGAATAACTGTGGTTTTAGTTCTGCTGGTTTTTTATGTTACCTGGGTGGAAATCCTGAGTTGGGGGAGACCTTTATTTTAAGAAGACATTCTGGTGAGTTTTTTGATTGAGAAAAGCAAAATGCCCTGGGAACAGTCTAGAAGAAAAGGATGGGGGCCAAGGGGGAGGGTATAGCTCAGTGGTAGAGCGTGCTTAGCAGCATGAGGTCCTGGGTTCAATCCCCAGTGCCCTTTAACAAATAAATAAACCTAATCCCCCCCCCCAAAAGAAAGGTTAAGTATAAGCACATGGCAAAAAATCCAAATAGCATAAAATGGTAACAGTAAATCTCCCTTTTGCCCTGGCTCCCTCCTCTGTGCCCCGCCCCCTTTCCCTCCATGGAGGTCATAATGATACCTGTTCCTCCTTCCTTGTGTGTCCTTGGGAGGGGTAATCTCTACATACAGTTTGTTTCTTCCACAGACACCATACACACTCTTCCTTGTCTTGCTGTGTTCCCTTAACTGACTATATACTGGGGGGATTATTTCCTACCAGTCACGTGGATTATGTCATCCTCTTTTAACAGCTACACTGTGTTCTTTTGCCATGATTCGCGTAACCAATCACCCAAGGGTGGATATTGCACCTTTACTATTCTGCATACTTTGGTGCACTCCTTGGATGTATCCGTCGTGTAAATAGCTGGAAGTGGGGTTGCTGGACAGTCCCACCATTGGAATTTTTGTCCCGCATCTTCCGTGTCCTCTTGGCAGGAGAAGTAATGCTCCTGGTAGCTGGTTTCTAGAAATAGACCTGGTAGGCTGTGTCCTCGGGCTGAAACAATGGCTCACTTGAGTTGCATGTGTGGTGCCCAGGTCTATAAAACCCTGCGAGACGCCGTGATGACCATGTACAGGACCGAAGGCCCCTTAGTCTTCTACAAAGGCTTGAACCCCACCTTGATCGCCATCTTCCCCTACGCCGGCTTCCAGTTCTCCTTCTACAGCTCCTTGAAGCACGCGTATGAGTGGGCCGTGCCAAGTGAAGGAAAGAAAAATGGTGAGACCACCCTCTAGGCCCCTCCACCCCACTCCTAGCCCATAACAGCCCCGTCTGCATCAGGGAGGAGACAAAGTTTTCCTGCAGAAGCTAAGACACCACTGAGCTCTGAACCCCACCGATGACAGTTTCTTCCGGTTTTTGCCACACCCGCCAGGGGCATCATCAACATTTATTTCCAACCACCAGTCCAGCTGGGGAGATCGGCATTAAAAGCTCGCACCCCTTCTGCCACCAGGCTGTCTGATATGTAGTCCGTGGTTATTTTTTTTTTCAATAATCTATACTATGTCATCTTAAACTATTTTGGCTTTTTGGTTTTTTTGTGGAGGGTAATTATTTATTATTTTATTTTTTAAATGGAGGTGCTGGGGATTGAACCCAGGACCTTGTGCATGCCAGGCATGTATTCTTCTACTGAGCTATACCTTCCCCCAGCTTTTTTTTTTTTTATCCCTGCCCCTGGTCATTCTTACTCTGTCTGGTTGTCCTGGATTAAATTCTTCTGTGATCGAGGGTGCTTGTTAGTTTTTTGTTTTATGGCGGAGGATTAGACTGCATAACCTTGAAGTTTACCCTAGATTGTATTTCTCTCATTTTCCCCCTTAATCCCACTTTTCTGGTTCAGGGAACTTCAAAAACCTGCTCTGTGGTAGCGGAGCTGGAGTCATCAGCAAGACCCTTACGTACCCCCTGGACCTCTTCAAGAAACGGCTGCAGGTCGGAGGGTTTGAGCAGGCCCGAGCCTCCTTTGGCCAGGTGAGTTGTGTCCCCGCCAACAGCTCTGATCCCTGCCCCTCACTGGGCACAGGAAGGACCCGGGGTTAGCTCCTGCCCTCTGGGCAGCTTGAGCCCCCACAGCCCTCTCACCCCAGCCTGCCCCCAGGACCCCTGAGCACATGGGAAGCCACAGGCAGAGCCCTATGTGTACTGGGCAGAGACCCAGGAGAAGGTGCACTTGGAGTCTGCACTTAAAAAGTGTTCACTTCAAAATAAAGAGTATATTCACTTAAGAAAGGTCCCCCAAACATGAAAGCACACAGAGGAACAGACTCACACTGGTGCACGGGGTTCTCCGCGTTATGTTGTAAGTGTCCCTGGAAAGCGGTGAATTAAATTTAATCAACTAAACTGTATTTTTAATGCACTAGAAGGGTTTGCCATTCAGAGAAGCCCCATTGTGAGTAATTTTGTAACGTTAATAGTCATTCCTTAGTGTGCTTAGACGTTCACGTACTGAGTTTTCCTCTGGTACTTCTAGAGTGCTGATTTTGTGAAAGACCAAGGTGGCAGTTGGGTAGGGGGGAGGTGGCCGGGGTGGGGAATCCCAGGGCCTTCCCTTTGGAACCTGGGACCCTGGAATGTCAAGGCATTAGCAACATGCCTGAGAGATGGCAGAGGAGAGGGATGGCGTGGAATGGGAGGCAGGGAAGGGACAGAGCCCGCCCTCCTTGAGGGGAGAGAAAGAATTGAGTTTGTAGTTGTAATACATTTTCTTTGCAGAAAACTTTAGAGAAGTTAGACAAAAAGAAAGATAAAAATCACATGTAAATCAAACACCGCCCACTCAGATAATCACACAGAACCCTTAGCTGTAGTTTTGTTTTGTTTTGTTTTGTTTTGTTTTCTTTCTTTCTTTCTTTTTAAATTGAAGTATAATTGACTTACAATATTATGTTAGTTTCATAGTGATTCAGTATTTCTGTAGATTATGTTCCATTTAAAGTTATTACAAAGTAATGGCTGTTTTCCCCTGTGCCGTGCACTATGTCCTTGTTGCTTATTTATTTTATACATGGTAGTTTGTACCTGTTAATCCCCAACCTTATCTTGCCCTTCCCCTGCCTCCCCATTGGTAACCATTAGTTTGTTTCAGTATCTGTGAGTCTGTTTCTGTTTGGTTATATTCATTCATTTATTTTATTTTTTAGTTTCCACATATGTGATACCATACACTATTTGTCTTTCTCTGACTTACTTCACTAAGCAAAATACCCCTACCTAGGGCCATCCATGTTGTAGTTTAATTTCTTTGCATAAATAAACACGTGTGCATGAGGTTATACATGAGGTTTTATAACCTCATTTTTCTGTTTACCAACTTGTCCTGAAGTGATGGTTTGAATTTGGACAGGGAGAGTTGGTGAGAGCCCAGGACAGAGATGTCACATGAGCAGGTGCGGCTGGACGTTGAGCGTGTGAGGAGTGTCAGAAGACCACTGGGGGATTAAGGCAGACTAGGGAGGGAAGTTGAAGCCCAATGGTGGAGCGCCCTGAACGCCCGACCATGGGGGTTAGACTTGATTCTTTACAGTGTTGTTACCATCATCATCACTGGGAGTCACTGCAGCTTTTGGAAGAGAGCGAGGCTTGAGTAGAGCTGTGCCTTGGGCATGGGGCTAGCAGTAGTTTGTAGGCAACTAGAGGTGGCCAGACTGGAGGAGTGGCACTGGTTAGGCTCAGAGCTAACGAAGGAGGGCCAGATTCAGATCTACTGCCCAAGGGAGACCAGGAGGGATGGGGTGCATGGTCAGAGGCACCTCTGGGAAGAGGTGGGTTCTTGGGAGCCACAGTCATTGGGAGCCTCCTGGGGAGGCAGGAGCTCTGCCCATTGCTGATTTCCAGGCACTTCATCTCTTAAGTCTGAATTAGCCCAGTTGGAAGAGAAAGAATGAGGTTAACTGACTGTATTGTTTTTCCATTCATTCCTTCATCCAGCAAGTATTTATTGGGAGCTTTAATGTGCCAGGCTCTGTGTTGACAAAAGAACTGAGCCCACATCCATGTTCCCATCATGTCCTCTCTCCTCAACCGGGGTAACCTTCCTCTCCCCAGGTTCGAAGGTACAAGGGCCTCCTGGACTGTGCCCAGCAGGTGCTACGAGAGGAGGGTGCGCAGGGCTTCTTCAAAGGCTTGTCCCCCAGCCTGCTGAAGGCTGCCCTCTCCACTGGCTTCGTGTTCTTCTGGTATGAGCTCTTCTGCAACCTCTTCCACCACATGAAGAAGGCAGACAGCTAGCCCTGAGGGCAGGAGGGGTGGCCTGAGGTCTGTCACTCCTGAAGGAAGACTTGATCTATAGCCTTGTGTTGCACTGAGAGGTCCTGCCTGGTCCCTCCCCCCAGGCCAGCTGTCCTGAGCATGAAAGCTGTCAGGAGCAGGGCAGCAGCCTTGATTCCACCAGCTTGGACACCACTAAAGGAGCAAAGGGGTTTCTCCACGTGAGAGTACGGGGAGCATGCAGGACTTGGTCTGCGGGGGCCCAGCCCCACCACTCAGAAGGAGCTGGATGCTTCTCCTCTGGCGAACTATCTAGGGGCAACAGCCACCCTCTTGCATGTCTTAGGCCCGTCTGCACAGAGAACGCTCCTGGCTCTGGGGTCGGGGGTGGAGGGTGGGCTGCAGCTTGAGTGTGAGGCTGGAATCGGGCCCTTTATGGGGGTCTGGTCCCCACACTTGGGCTCTTCATAACTCCCACCAACTTACTTAATAGACATTAAAGCTAAAAGCACATTCCTTATCCTACTCCTCCATCTTCCCTTCCAAACCACATCCCTCCTCACAAAGTAGGAGGGAAGGGATCCCTGCCTTCTTAAATTCTACTTCCCTCATGCAGCTTTGCTTCTAGTTCTGGGGGAAGAATTCCACTGAATTGGTCAGTCTGTAAACTCTGCCAGGCTCAGATCTTCTTGTCTATGAAGGCACCATGCTGGCTGGCCTCTCCCTGGGTGGGACTGGTCCCAGCCCGTGGGCCTCTAGGGAAAGCAGAAACCAGAAGCCCCCACAGCCAGTAGGAGGAGGGGTAGGTAGAGGCAGCAGCCCTTCTCCCCGGTCTACCTGGAATCACACCTCTTTCACTGGGGGCTGGTTTAGCCCTCCTGAGTGGTTGGGAGCGAACAGGCTGGGCCAGTGGACATCAACTGCCCACTCAGGGGGCTCCTCCTGGGTCCAGCATGGTGTTGTGCACATTCTCTATAATTTGAGAAGGGCCACGGCTCCAAAGTAGCCCAGCAAAGACAGGCAGCCTGGTGAGGGCACAGTTGGCGCCCCGGGAACTTGTCAGGGCACAGGAACCCACAACAGACACCCATCTAGGCACAGTTAGGGGTTTGAGAGAAGAAAATTCACAGAACACAACCAATACTTTCCATCCAAGTCTTCCCATCCCCAGAGCAGGGGTCTGGCCTGAGGGGTTGGCTTGGCAGGGGGAGCCAGGATGGAGGAGGAGCAGGCCTCACCTCTAGCTCCAGCCTTTGCACTGACTTTCCAGGAAGGCACCAGCAGGGAGCAGACCTTGGGTGTGTGTCCTGGCTCTCAGTCTCCTTGGAGCCTGGGCCCCTTTCCACCACTACTGTTTTGCCTCTAGTCAAGGGCTCTTTGATGTGGCTGGGACCTGGAATCCTGGAGCTTTCCTGCTCTTGGCTGCTGATTTTGTGGGTCTAGTTGTAGCTGGAGGGCTTGGACACCCACAGGGTTTTTGGCAGTCAAGGCTTGGGGCTGCAAGGAGGCAGCTGCCTGAATGTATTTTTTATGAAACTCCATTGAAGTAAACTCTATTCTCTTCAGCTCTCCTGCTCACTGGTTTCTTTCCCTGCAGCAGAGATTTTCTTCCTCGTCCATTTTCTGGTGACCACTTCAGCAGCTCTTTCAACAGGAGGAAAGAACTTTGGATACAGGGAACCGCCATCAACACTTCTTTCTTGTCTAAGTTACTATGGGAAGGGACAGTTCTTTTCCAGCCCCTTCTGTATGCCCTCCTGCAACCCAGGGCTGACCTCAAAAGTGGCCCAGTCTAGGCTGCTGGGCCCGCACCTCTCCCCTAGTCCCGACCAAGGCAGACTGAGCCAGGGGCTTGCTCGACTTCAGGGTCACTCCAGACACCTCGCGCCACAAGTTGAAAACTGGAACCCTTTCTCTTGAACTGGCCCACTGATTTTTCAACTTGTTTTACCAATAGCATTTGTACTTGGAGTAGGAGAGGGGCTTAGTGGGCCTTGATCCAGCCCTTACAACCTCTCTGCCTTCTCCACCTTGGGAAGTGGCCGTAGGGTCCCGCGGCCACCACCGGTGAAGTCTTACCCCTACATCCATCTCTGTCCTCCCACCTTGCTCCGTCCCACTGCCGGCTGCGGGCCACGCCCTTCGTAGGCTCCGCCCACAGCGCCCCGCCCGGGAGTCTCCTCTTCTGACCCGGTTTTAACCTGAGCCCTGACGTGCGGGAGGCGGAGTGCCACCGCTCAAGACCGAGGGCTTCATGCGGGCCGAGGAGCAGGTCCGGCCCAGCGCCAACGAGCCACTGTGGCCCCAGACAGGCCCAGGGAGACCTGGGTGAGGAGAGGATGGGACGGTGGTGGCAGTGCCGCTGGCCCACGCCAAAGATCTCGGGACTGCGCGGCTAGGGCGGCGTGGGCGGGGCCCTGAGAGGTGGCGCTAGCGAGGCGGTGCC